CCAGGCATAGTCTCTTCCACTGCTGGCGGACTTCCAATGCTCAGAGGATGTGGAGGATCGCTGAGCACTCAGAGCTTCACTCTGGCTAGCCTTCTAATCATTGGCGAGGCACAGACTCGTCAGTCATTGCTCCCATGAGTAGATCCTCTTCCTAGCGCTCAGAATGTAGTTACTCTGACAGTTGGTAGCTAACCACACTGCCAGTACTTGCATGTCACTGTGCAACTGGCTTCTAACAATAACTCTCAGCATGTAACCGGGCCCTGTGTGTACTCATACACCAGACAGTTGAAATGGCTCCGTTACACCTAGGGCCGTATGGCTTGACTGGTAGAACAGGTATTTTTGTAACAGCCCTACTGTGGCCCTGTTACACTATGCGAACTATGGGTTCCAACCAGACTCCACTTGGCCCTCGCCTAAGAGGAAGTTAGACAATATCGACGCCTCTGGCTCCGTACTAGCATCCAAGTGGAAGACTCTTTGGAAAGCCATGAGGGCTGATATCCACAAGGCACAAGTACGGCAGAAGAAATGGTATGACCAGAAGCATATGAAGGCTCCGGAACTGAAAGCTGGGGATAATGTGATGCTGGGCAGACGCAACATCATAACCAAGTGGCCTTCAAACAAACTAGACCAGAAGAAACTGGGTCCGTTTGAGGTTGTAGAGAAACTTGGCGTCGCGTCCTAAAAGCTGAAGCTGCCCTCTCAATGGAACATTCACGATGTCTTCCACACATCTCTGCTGGAACCCTATCGGGAGCCGGAAGACACTCAACGAGCTGTCGCACCTCCTCCTCCGGACGAGGTGGAAGGAGAGGACAGTTACGTGCTCAAGGAAATAGCCGATGGCCGATGGGAACAGGCTGGATGTGGAAAAAGGTTCGTGCAGTATCGGATTATCTGGGAGGGCTATCGCTCAGAAGACTCCTGGGAACCATACGAGATGCTGCAAGGAACTGCAGATGAGGCACTCCGAGAGTTCCATCTGACGTACCCCCGAAAACCACGGGACGTACGGGTGAAACTTTAAGAATCCTCAAACACAGCGTGAGTAGACCTGTAATCCCAGTAAACTATGGGAACAAAAAGCTAACTCTCTTGTACCAGGTTTTCATCGGTCTGACAGTGCTCAGATACCATTTTCCCTGAGAAGCAGCGCAGGAAACAATAGGAAGCTGAGGCGTAAGAAACCCCCTAAAGAAAAGGGAAGAAGGGATTCTTGTTAAGATCAAATCTCCCACTACTAGGACGGACTGTTCTGGTATCAGCGTGTAACGGCAATATTATGTTCTGGCTCAGTTGATAAATGAGATCGTGACGAGAAGGTATTGTGCAGTCGAACTAGGATTTGTAATGGGGTTTCTGTTATGTTCTTTCGGTTTCTGTTACGCCGGATATTAGTCATCAACGAACTAGGAGTTGAATATATAAGGGGGCGTTGTCTCGTGCCTTTTCATGTTTTCCTTTCTTCCCTTTACTCTCTCACGCAACCTCTTGTATTTACTCCACAAATACTACGTTTGGGTGCGTGACTCGTTATAGGGTTCAACTGGTTTGTCGTACCAGGTAGAGCCGCCCCATAGTCCATAGCCAAGAATACCTATCGCTACGTCTTCGCCTCGGTTGTATTCCTTGGCACTATAGTCCCTACGCCCATAGACCCCCGTTACACAGCGTGGAGAATACTGGTTTTCTTTTGTTAGTATATACGTTTCATTTCAAGGGTTTCCTTTGTCTATAGAAATGGATATAGAAATAGAGTTTGTATGGAATTATTAATAGAGCTACATTTTTCTTGTATGCGCAATTGTACCATACCAAAATCCCTAGGTTGGACTCGGGACGAGTCTACCGGCGAGTGGGGTAATTATAACAGGGCTATTATCAGACCATTATAATAATACCTGTTCTACCAGTCAAAGCCGTACGATCCTAGGGTAACCGCAGCTTCTTCTTCATCGACGGGTGAAGACAAGGGCAGGTGAACACCTACCTCTATTGGTATAGAGGGTAGGGATCTTAGCGAGCAACGAGCCTTGTGAGTCAAGCCAGGCGATTGGAAAAAACTAGAACAGAAGGACAAGCTTGCCAAACAGGAAGGGTAACCCCAAACATAGGTTACCCTACCTTGGTGGTCGACCTTTGAGGTGGAACAACTTTGCAACCGATGTCCGGAAAATATGCTTTACCAAGTCAGAAAGGATCCTGGCGGCGCTCCGGTCAATTTGGGATAATCTAAAGAAAGTGTTGCGGAGTTGAGGAAACGCTGCAAAATAAACACGTTTTGGACCCCGAAAATAACCCCCGGAGCGTCAAACCGCCGGAACCCTTCTGATTCAGCCCGGTGCATGTTTGGGGAGTAGGAGTACGACCCAAACTACTAAAGCAAACCTCGTTTTACAAACACCAAATCTATTCTAAAAACAAATTGAATAAGCAAGTGCTATCTGGTCGGTTGTTGTAACGGAGCGATTTCAACTGTCTGGTCTATGAGTACACACAGGGCCCGGTTACATGCTGTGAGTTATTGTTAGAAGCCAGTTGCACAGTGACATGCAAGTACCGGCAGTGTGGTTAGCTACCAGCTGTCAGAGTAACTACATTCTGAGCGCTAGGAAGAGGATCTACTCATGGGAGCAATGACTGATGAGTCTGTGCCTCCCCAATGACTAGAAGGTCAGCCAGAGTGAAGCTCTGAGTGCTCGGCGATCCTCTACATCCTCTGAGCATTGGAAGTCCGCCGGAAGTGGAAGGGACTATGCCTGGGAAGTCTACAATAAGCGAAAGCTCTACAGCAATGATTAGGCTTACACTTGAGCGGCAGCTCATTCATGCAGGCCCCCGTTGTGTGGCAACAAAGGCTGCAGGTGTTACAAAGGCTTTGACTAAGGGTGGTTGCCTTCAGAACCGGAAGCACTCGCTGACGCTTAGAGAGAAGCGGGGTAGCGATGGTATTGCTTCCCTTCCGCTAGAAGGCAGCACCGGAACTTAGTAAGGAGGTGGGAGCATTGAATAGAGTCCTTTGGAGTATAAGTACTCAGGATCATTCCCGCCCAACTGTCCGAATCCTGATCTTGATCTTTACCTAGAAATATCGGTAGCAGAGCCCTTAAAGATTATTGAGTTCTAAGCGATAGTATCTTTGAATAAATCTGCACCTGATTTCTATCTTGCACGGCCGCATCTATTCTATTGGATTCTAGCGATACATAGATAGGCTGCCCCCGTTACAATCCCAACGCCTTGATAGCAGGTCTGTTTTGCCATTCTTTTCTCCCGGTCTGTAGACAACTTTGAAATTGTAGCCTAGGTCCTCAGACCATCTCGCTTGCCGCCTAGTGAGAATCTTGGTAGAGTTGAAATACTCTAAGTTCTTGTGGTCTGTGAAAACCATGATCTCAAGCTCGCAACTCTTGAGCATATGCTCCAATTCCCGGAAAGAGGCTACTATAGCTCCCATTTCCTTATCATGAATGTCATAGTTGATCTCGGCGGGGGAGAATTTCTTAGAATAGAAAGCTACCGGGTGTAGTTTCCCATCTTCCCCATACTGAGAGAGCATCACTCCTTTGGCAAAGTCACTGGCATCAGTCTCAACCACAGTTCTTCTGCTAGGGTCAAAATGGAGAAGGATTGGAGCGCTTGTGAATAGCTTCTTGAGTTCCTCAAATGCTTGTTCACAGGCTGCGGTCCAATACCATTTCTTGTCATTTTGCAAGAGGTCGGTCAGCGGTTTGCAAACTTTACTTAAGCCTTCAATGAAGCGGCGATAGAAGTTTGCAAATCCTAGGAAACCTTGTACTCCCTTAATAATTCGGGGTACTGGCCATTCCTGAACCGCCTCTACCTTGTCCTCTGACATAGATACCCCCTTTTCTGAAATGTGGTAGCCAAGGTATTCTACTTCTCGGACATGGAAGGATGTCTTGCTGATGGAGGCACACAGTTTGGCTTCTCTGAGCTTCTGTAGGACCTTCTCAACCAGCCTTTCATGCTCTTCCTCAGTCTCTGAGTAAATGAGAATGTCGTCGATATAGACAACCACTCCTTCATCCAGTAGTTTCTTTAGCACATTATTTATCATTGCCTGGAAGGCGGACGGGGCGTTGCATAGACCAAATGTGATAACTTTATACTGATACAGTCCATAGCGGGTTCTGAAAGCGGTTTTCCACTCATGCCCTTCTGCTATCCTGATTAAATTAAGCCATTCTTCAGTTCTATCTTTGTGAATATCTTGGCCTTGAACAAGCTATTTCTGAGCTCGCTCATGATAGGCAGACGGTACTTGTCCTTGACAGTTACCTTGTTCAAACCTCTGTAGTCAACCAAATTTGCCATGTCCCATCCTTCTCAGGTATGAACAATATGGATGCAGCTGCTGGGCTGTTAGATCTGGAGATCTTTCCTAAAGACAACTCTTTGTCCAGGTACTCTCGGAGCCCCTTCAATTCTGGAGCGGAACATGTGTATAGAGGGCCAAATGGGGGAGCGGTGCTTGGCAAGAGATTGATCTCCAAATCATTTCGGCAGTGCGGAGGCAGCTCCTGTATCTTCTCTTGACTGAACACATCAGCCCATTCCCTATAGCGGAGGGGTATCCTTTCAGCCATATCTCCTCCATCCTCATCATGCCATACTGATGCGGCCAATTGATATACTACATCTTCTTCTTCCATCATTTGGTATAAAGAGATGAGTTCAAACTTGATCCCTGCTGGGAGACAATTCTGCTTGCAGTAGTCACTTCGCCAGCTTATGGTATTGAGTTTCCAGTTGATATCCAGGTTATGCTTCCTTGCCCATGCAATTGGCAGGTAACTGGATATTCCTTCTTCCAAAGTAGCCAACTCCCGACGGAGTGTCTCCCTATGATCTCCCATGTTCATGTGAATCGGGTGAGTGTAATACTCTCCTCCGCCCATCATGACATCTCCTTGAGTATCATACATTGTCAAAGGTTGATCCCGCCCGATAAGGGGATTCCATGCTCCCTGACAAAACTCTGGTTGAGGATTGCTCCTGTACAACCGGTGTCAAAGAGGAATGTCCCTTGGGCGTCTTCAACATTGTTCTTAACCATCCATGCCAGTCCTGCCTTTAGTATTGGCCTCTTGCCGTGTACTGGTAAGGATGGAAGCTTCTCTTCCAACCTTCTTCGCTTCTGTACGGGTTCTGGGCTTGGTTCTCTCTGTCTTTTCTCTATTGCTGATAGCTGCGGGCACTACTAAGATCCAGAGATCCTTTGGTTCTATTCCCAAGCGATGATAGAGCAAGTATATTGTGTGGTAGTCTGGTAGCAGTTGGAAGTGTCTTGTGGCAAATGTAATTTTGGCAGAGCACTTACAGACCAGCTGTTTCAGGTCATAAACCCATCCTCAGAGTGCTTGAAAACAATCAAATAGGCGGAAAAACACAATAGTTTATTCAAGAGAAACAAAGGAACAAGACCCAAAGAAAACTAGTAAACATAGACACTAAACAGACACACTTACTACCAGATGATTTCATTGTCCGAGTCTTGCTCAGGCTGAAAAACGAAATCTCCTGTAACCTCTGGGAGTACAACAAGTGATTCCTCTGCTGTAACAGCAGCTACTTTAGCTTTCTTCCGAGGATTGGGCTTGCCATTTCCTCTTTTCCGGTTTTGTACCCTCACTGCTGCCACACGGACTACAGTAGTGTAAC